CAATTATTAAAGACAACAGCAGTGCAAGTAATGCCACCTTTAAGAACATTATTTGGAACTGTTTTCCTGTATGGCAAGGACTGAGCTGAATAACTCATAGAACTGAAAATTAATCAAAAGGTGGGAAGGAACATTTATTAAAATGTACTAAATACAGCCAGGTGAAAAAAAAATTACCAGAAAGGAGCATAATTTAAAAAATGAAGGGTACATTGCAGAAAGAGCAGGCAGACTGCTCATTCTATTTAATTTTGTCTTAATCAGAAGAATAAATAGGTGAAAGTACAAAAGTTATAGGGAGAAAGAGAAGAAGAATGAGAGTGATGGAGAGAGTGCAAAAAGAATTAAAGCCTACCAGGCAACTCAGCTCAATAAAAATAAATTCTCCCTCTCTCAGCAGTTAAAGCAAAATGTTTCCTGACTCCTGACAATACCCCATTCTTTTACTTTCTGGCTGGCTGGAACCTGAACAGCCATCAATCAAGTTTGGGTGGCCGTGAAGTAGGCCAGATGGAGTATGTCGGAAGTGTTTTCTGCTCTTCAATGCAAGTTGGCCATTATAGCAGCTACCCGACAGAAGTACCTGAGTCTTTCACATCTGTCAAGATAGTTTAAGGAGACCTTGAACATCCCCGGCCTTGCAGATACTGATTAGAACTGTGTGTGCTAGAGGAGAGGTGGCTGCCTCCATGGGGATTTTCTGATAAAAAATAGCCTTTCATGCTTTCCAGCCTTCGTGACAGGCTTTCTCATGACCTCATTTGCGTACTAAATGCACAGACCACGGTGTCACGGTATCACTGTAGCTGATAACCTTTCTGTCCAAATATTCAAGGAAAAACAACTGTTTTCATCCACCGGTTACTTTAGCACAGCAGCCCAGGACCAAGCTATTCTCTTCCAACCTGAGAACACCTCAGCAAAGCCATGGAGAAGAGCTTGTCAGAAATCGAGACAAAATTCAAATTCCTGATTCATCATCTGCTCCCCCTTAAATCCAACATACAGCAGATTCTCATGCAAGCAGTGAACTCCAAAATGACCGTGTCGCAGATTACAATCTATACTTAAGAGTCAGGTGCTTGGATTAAAATAATACTGAGACACAGCAATGCTAATAAGGACAATTTTAATTTTTTTTTCCTACTTTCCAAAATAATGACAGCACTTCAAAAAGATTTTAAGGCTTTTCCATGAATGCTGACTAATGAGAAAACAAATCCATAAGAACACTTAGATCATCAGTTTATGAGGCAGGCACTGATTCCTGACGTTAATGAGTATCTACCTCCTTGTTTAGCAGAAGTTTTGCTACAGCTCATAGAAGCTCCTGGAAAGCCAAAATATACTTTAACAGAAAATCTGCAAAACGGTAACCCTTGGGATTTCACTGAAGGTATAATTTTCCTTTCTGTTAAGCACTGATTAAACTCCTTTGAAACAGCAGTCATCTTCAAAACAGCCGAGAGCAGAGACAGACACCGGATTCATCCTACCAGCAAAGTTGCTGCATGTTCATGAGCTGAAAAGTGGATAAGCAACACGAGAGCAGCAGTTACAAGTAGCATCCATTTATTTGTGTTTTTCTCAAAGAACAGAGAAGGTGAGAAGGAACTTTAGACACCAAGCCAGAGTAAGAATTGGGCAAGCCTAGGAGAAATAATCTGTCCTACCCAGACACCTTCTTGGCTTCTTAACTGTTCAAATTAATTAACTTTTAAAAAAAAATATAAGAGTTAGGGAAAATTCTGATGGTCTCAGATAAAGATACCTACTCCACATGCAAGCAGTGATCAAAACAAAAATATAGGTTATTTAGTGAAGGTAATAAACAATAAAAGAAGTATTACAATGGTATTTTATGTTTCAATGCCAATCTGTAGAGAAGTTGGAATACTGTGCACAGTCCAGTCTCTTCATCTCAAAAATGATTTTCAGTAATAGAAGGAATTTAGGTAAGTCCTGTAGAGGACTTATGAATGGATTAACTGTTATACAATGAAACACTGAAGTTAGAGGTTCTATCTTCAGAAGACGGCAAGCATCAGAAGGAACAGGAGATACATAAAACTGCAACTGATAGGAGAAGCCAAATAGGGGCTTTCATTCACCTCATTTAAAACATAAAATCAGAATGAAAACTGATGTAATTGAGAGATTACAAACATGACCCAATAGAAGGAAAATTCCGGTGCACAGGAAAGGAAGTTAGTCAGGAAAATAACGAAAACACACATTTTTCTGAATATACTTGGTATTTTCAGTGTAATATTCTCAGTCAGTTCACATCTCCTTTTGGTACTCCCAACCTACTGATGCTGGAGATGTATTCAGTAATGCAGGTCTTGAAGCATATACCAGTCAGAAAGGTAACGTTTAGCAGTAAAACAGATTCCTGCAATCAATAAGCCCCCCACTTACTGTTCTACCAGAGCTCCCAAATGCGAGCAGGCCACTGCCCTGCTACTCCAGGCAATCACAGTACAAAGGGGTCGCACTTGATCCGCATTTATACATCTATCTATGTTTCAGTACAGACCTTATGAAGCACTGTGCCTCAAAACAAAAATGCTGTTTCCAAGTAATGTATAATATGCTTTTTCTCTTGCAGTCTTGAGCCACTGGTGCAAACCTATGGGTGGAAAGGGAGCCTAATACATATCTGCAGTCCATTCCAAAGGCTCAGACAATAATCTAGATTTTCTTATCACCAAAGAATTAAATTGGGTCTTATTCTAACCATATATTGAATCCAGTTGATTTTTCCTTTATCTACATATGGGTGGAGACTTACCTCCAACCTGCAATTTCCTTCACCTCAGGAAGGAAACAGACACTCTCAATTCCAGCCAAGATGTCAGCACTCAAATTTTTAACTCAGAAATAAAGTTCAGTAGGGCACAACATCTCACACAGTACTAATCTGCCTGACCTAATTTCTTACTCTAGTTCCTCCCTACTGCTGCCAACATAATGTGCAGTGTAGCTCCTGGGTACCCACAGATCTGCACTATGGAATTCTTATCCTTAGCTCAGGACCCAGGCAGGCTGCAAGTGTGTGACTTCCTTGAATGCTGTTCCTACTAATGCCAGCGGCAGATGAACGAGCAGGTGGCACGCAGGAAGATGCTGTGAGATTTCTAACGCAAATAAGCAGAGCAAAATTTCTGCCACAGTTATTCTGATCACGTACCTACGTTTACATGTATTTCTCCTTTTGCATTCCTTCAAATGAAATGAAGCCAGGTTTCTAATCAAGTCAAACCACATAACTAGGTTTGCCACAGTCAGTCCCAGACCGAGTTTCAGTCTCAGCTATAACTCACTCATACCTAGAATAAGTAAAAGTTAACTCCAATCCAGCAATTTCACAAGCGCTGCCTTTAAAAGTAACTTTAAAAAGACCCTGTACCACCCAAGAGCATTGCTCTCACAAAATAATGCTGTATCAATGCTCTGCTTTGTCTCCCTCTCCCCTCTTCTGACAGCCATTGATAGAATACACTGACTCAGGGAGAGCAAAACAAGGCAAAAGGCTACTAGCCAGTCCAGCTGCAGAGGTCTTCTGGTAGCATAAAAGGAAGCTTCATTCAATAAACTCCCAAATGCCACCTGGGCATGGAAATTTACTCAAAAAAAAACCAAAAACAAAAACAAGCAAACAAACAACCCACCCCAAAAAAAACCACCAAAAAACTCTCCCAAGGAAAAGAAAAAGGTCCTTCTCTCCAGACTAATAAACAATGAAATCAAAGACCTTCCTGCCTTCCCACTCAGTCACTTCCACCCCCAAATGAAGATGTTTATTGCTGCCAACTCAACCAAGTCAGATGGTCTCTGAAAATCTAGTTTCTAGCTGTGAAATATAGTTTCTGCTTCACAGCTTGTCATTATCTAGTTGTAACTCCATAAATGTCATGTGGGGAAGACCAGTTACACCTGTACTGACTGCAAAGCAGACAGATGCATTAGCACACCCAGAAAGCATCTGCAACCTCATCAGACATGTCTCTGGTAGCACAAGCAGAGCAGGCCAGCTGCAGGTATTCCTCACTCAGATCAGTGGTACACCACCATCAACAATTTTAAAATGGCCCATCCCTGTTGCACCTGTCACTCCTAATCACATTTATTTTTATAATTACCCTAGTATTCAGACACTTGAATGTTTTAAACCTAGACGGTTTTAAGCAAACAAATGCCAGGGTAGCATAGCTTGTGTAATCCACTTAAAACACATTACTTCTGTATCTCAAACAAGATCTCACAGTTTTAGCTCCCACTATAAATCATCCTACACACATAACACCTGCTACTTCAACAAGAGAGTATATTAAAAGGCTTTAACGATTAGAAAGAAAATAAGTTTGTCTGAGGAACACCTAGAAACACAAATGCAGAGCATATGCCTTTCTGTGTACTAAGAACTACACTGTCACTTGCACTTAAACAATTACACTCTCCTTCCTGCTGTCTTTGAATAAAGAATATACAACCCCAAGGGTGCAGAACATCAATGCATTTCAGCATACAGTGAGCAGAACATCCCTTCTATGCTACCTGTCCAGAAGGAAATAATTTCTTTCAATCTTCAACTCATTTCCTTTGTTTTTTTCAACTAGCCTTCATCTGATAGCAAACAAATCTTTATCAAGTTTTTGCATGCTATTATTGGTCTGTTCCCATCAACAGCAGAGTTATAAATTCATCTGTACTCTGGAATTCTAGTCGCATCAGGAAACTGGTCACAGTAGAAGTGGTCTAAGGTTAAAATCAGAGCTCTTTATCTTCAGCTTACCTCTTGTGTGAGACTGCCCTGACCATACAACTCAGGAATATTGTCTGACTGACCACTGAGACATAGAAGCAAGTGCAGAACTAAGACAAGGCCATGAAAATACAATCTTCTGTACTACTGAGTTCCCACTGAAGCATGCATGACATTACAAATCCAGTGATTTGAATGAACTAGTGTGCAGCCTTCAGCAAATGGAATTTACCTTGAGGTTTGGGTTTGGTAAGCTTCCCACAGGGCTTTGAGATTGTGACAGTCTTCTGGCAGTCAGCATTATGAAGGGCTCTCTTTAAGTTCCCAGTTCTAGTCTTCAAGGCAGTATTCAGGTCACATTCTCCCCAGGCCTGGAACTGGTATTTGCACTCTGCTGCAATGAGTAATAAATAGCAATTTTAAAATCAAAATGACTGTGAAAACAAAAATGTTATGAGTCTAACAGAGTATCACAGTTAGTTCTTGTAGACAAAAGGATCATGTTAAGCAGAAAATACAGGCTTCCTGCCCAATGTCTGAGTAAACATGAAAGCAAATCCCTTGAGAGCAATGCTTACCTCCAAATTGCTTCTTCCAGTTGCAGGGGATCTTACACTTTTGAGTCTTGGTAGTTTGTTTGCACTCAGCTCCAGTGCGAGTGCCCTCACGTGTCCCCAGGCCACAGTCACCATTGGTGGGCACACAGACACTCCACTGCCATTCCCCACAGTCAGACTTCTTCGACTTTTTCTCTGGATGAAGACAAGGAACCAAACCCAAGCAAGAGAAACGGTTAGTACCCACCAGCCTATGGAGAAGCTCCCTAAACTTCATTAAACAGGTACATCACCTGAAAAGGTGAATGAGGAAGACATTTGTAAAACAACTGCTTCAAAGGCAAAAGGTCTGGCATCCTTTCCACAATTCTGCAGATACAGGTCATCCTCTCTGACTCCAAAGCAGGGTGGATCATTCAAATTCAGTCCCATTACCATGTCTACTAGTCCACTTAGATATTCTCAAGTGGATTCTCATCTTCACAGTGGGGAATCACCTAGAAACCCTCAGGGATTGCTAACCAAACCATAGAGCGCTCATGTAGAAAGGACACTCCCTCTGCCTCCAGTAGCTGATGGCATCCAAATATTTTCAGTTCCAACTGAAAGACTACACACTATACAGATTAGAAAACAATCACAGAATGGTTTGGGTTGGAAGGAACCTTAAAGTTCATCCAATTCCAACCACTCTGCCACAGGCAGGGACACATTCCACTAGAACAGGTTAATCAAAGCCCTGTCCAACCTGACCTTGAACACTGCCAGGGATGGGGCACCCACAGCGTGCCTGCACAACCTGTGCCAGTGCTTCACCACCCTCACCCTCAAATGTATGTGTTGATGTTGTGTATCAAAGGATTCAAGCACCTCCAGGGAACAGCTGCGGGACACAAACTTTTCACTTGGTATACCATGGCACATTCTATGACCAAAATTCCAAGGATGAAGAAAAATCTACACTGAGAAGTATACTCAAAATGCTGCTAATGCATGTGCTCAGGGACAAAAGGGTCATAGTTTCATTTAAATCCTTAAACCCAAGTCTGATAAGAAAAGACAGCAATGTTATCAAACCCAAGTGTTCATCCCAAAACATCACAAGTAACTTTAAATAACCTTATAAAAAATTATTTTCCTTCTAACTCCTGTATATTTACATTCACATTTTCTCATATTTCCATACAGCCACAATGGCTATAAACGCCTCTGTAACCAGAAAACAAATTCAGATAGCCTCATTTTAATGGGGCTCATAGGTCATTTTAACTGGTGTGTAAGTGTTCTGTAAATCATAAGACCTTAAGAAAACCACCAAAAGATGTGTTCCTTAAAAAATGTCACAACTGGGTTGTATAGATATGAATTTTCCACCACAGGCCTGTCTCCCCTATAATGAGGTGTGAGTTCATCACTGGCAGAAAGCAATTACCGCTGGATGTCTGGCTGCCCTTATGCAGCAGCAAGTTAGTTCAGTTCTTTGTGGGAGGACTTCCACATCACACAGCATTGGCCTAGCATTGTCAGATACAACACTGAACAAGCAACACGATAATGGTCTTACATCACTCCTATTTGGTTCTCCCTAAGTCAAGAAGGATCCTATTCCCAGAGCAAATATTAAGCTGCTTTGCAACACCCATTCTATGATAAAATAAGGACTACGAGGCTGTCAAGCTGCTAGCTTTTATGGAAACTACCTTTCATTTTTCTATTTAACACAGAATAACATGTCACAGCCACAAAGCCCTAGCCTGTATGTCAAAAGGTTAACAAACAACCTGAATTTCATAACAAAACCAGAAGCATTTGACATTCTCCCACACATGCAATCTATCATGGGGATTAACTCTGAATTACACTGGACCTTACCTGGTTTCTCTTTTTTGCCAGCCTCTGTGGTACTCACAGCTGCCAGAATAAAAACAAGTGCCAGGAGGGCAGCTGTGAACATTCGGCGTTGCTGTTGTTCCTGTTGCATTCTGGGGATTAACAAGAAAAAAAGATAAAAAGGTTGGTCAGAATGTAAAAAGTGGGACCCCATCTAATGTGTTGCTACAGCATTTTGGGGAAGCTCTGCTTCAGGCCAGGAAGAAACAAGCACGTAGAACATAATTAGCTATTAGCAGAATGGATATCTTCATTCCAGAGAGAATACAGATATTTTTACCAATTCTTTTCCAGCCCGTGTACCAAATCCCTGGCCTACATCACTGCTGTTATGGATGAGTATTGCCACAGGAAGTTCAGTAATTATTGCTCATCTCTAGAAACCTGTCAGAGAATCAAGGCTCCTGATGGGCCTGGAACTCCACTCTTCTTTCTTGACCTCTGACTGATATATTGTGTAAAACTAAACATATCATATACTTTGTGTTTCAGCATACCCATTCATACGAAGCAGGGAACGCTACACTTGCAAGAGAGCAAGTTCTTACTAGGTTTACTTGACATCTGAAAAGGCCTTACTTAATAAAAACTTATACAGGTAATATGTGATGTATTACCTTAATTGTATGGGCGTCTTGCTACTAACCTTACCCTCCAATTAGAGTCTCTTCCTGATAAATTAAGCTAATTGCTTGAAATGCAAAATGGGCACAGAGACAGGACTTGCACACACAGCTAGAAGCTATCCATAAGATGCTAATGAACCCAAAATCTGGATTTGGGATTCAAATATTCAAAATATAAATATAAATTTAAAAAGTTTAAAAAAAATAGAAACATTAGCTTGGTGGTGAAATATCATTTACTAGCCAATCACCAAAAGTCATTCAGAGCTAGCTGATTTCAATGGTTTACATAGAACCATAGAATCATAGAACAGTTAGGGTTGGAAAGGACCTTAAGATCATCCAGTTCCAACCCCAACACGTCACACTAAACCATGCCATCCAAGGCTCTGTCCAACCTGGCCTTGAACACCGCCAGGGGTGGAGCATTCCCAACCTCCCTGGGCAACCCATTCCAGTGCCTCACCACCCTAACAGGAAAGAACTTCCTTCTTATATCCAATCTAAACTTCCCCTGTTTAAGTTTTAACCCATTACCCCTTGTCCTATCACTACAGTCCCTAGTGAAGAGTCCCTCTTTCAATTTGCTATAACTTGCATCGTTTCATTCTGGCACTGTTTATCAGAAAGCAGGGCCATAACAAATACACATGTCAAAAATAAGCAACCTTCCCATTTCTCAGAGCCACTTCTCTAGCAGGCAGCCAGGAACCAAGACAGTGGACTCCAGATTTCTCAGACTGAAGGTTTCCCCAGCCTCTTTTTTTTTAACCAGGGCCCATGACATTCATGCTGCACCAGCTTTCCAGGGAAGTGTCAACTGCGCTAGCCACTAAGATGGCTTTAATAACTTAACTAGACCAATGCTACTGAGAGTTTAAGATACAACCTGATCTCATTTTGCTTAGCACAGCAACCTTAGGAGAGAAATAATTCTCAACATGAACAAAGAACAAAATGTATTTGAAATTTAATTTGGCACTCCTCAGTATTCCCTGCTGGCAGTCTCTTGCTCAAAAGCAACATAACTGTAATTGACATGGAAAACAGGAGAGGAATCCCAAAGCCAGAGACTTTTAAGTATCCAGCTTTAATACAGTGATAGAAGCCAGAGGAGAAAGCCTAATGGCTTTGTTGAAATAAAGTTCATGTGAAAACTGCAAGAGACCTGGCATTCAAATGTCTGGAAGAACTGTCATTAGCACCCATGTGCTTTATTTCAAAAGAAAGTACCATTTCCCATCATGAAGAAAGGGCCACCAGTGTTTCCAATGAACTCAGAGCCTGGAGCTAGAGGGCACACGAGTTGTGTGTGAGCTTGGGTTTGCCTTTTTCCTTTCTTCTGCTACATTTTTCCACTTAGAGCTTCTCATGTTTTACAGAAAACTAATTACATAAATAAATAAGTAATAATAATAAAAAATTAATCTGCCTTTTTATTCAGCTTACATCAAACCAGTCTTTCATAATTAAACACAGTTGGAATACTTATATGACACAACTTTTTCTCTCAGCCCCTCTCCCTTGAGAAACTTCACCACTTGTAACACTGCACCTCACATCCCATTTTCACTGCAATTTATCAATTTATCTTCTCACTTCCCCTCTTCCAAATGATTCACAATAATCCCTCGTTGGAGAAGGGAGTTAAGCACTTGCATGGAAACACATATGGAAGGAAAAATAACTTCCATAATCCCCAGAAACCATCCCAGCATTCTACCTGGGGGTATCAGAAGCTGAAACAAGTCAGCACTGGAGGGTTTGCTGCACAGCCTGTTGCTGCACACAAGAGATGCCCACAGTGGACTTGGGACTCCCTCCTTCATCCTTGCTGCCCATCCCAAGGACCTGGGATGTAGTCACAGGTACCCCACAGTCTGCTAGCAGTCACTGGGAGCCATGCATAACTGTTTCTAGGGAAGCTGCCTTATATTAAGTTGACAGAGACTCTAATTCAAATCTGATTGACACTATTTTCAGCAAATCAGGCAGGAAAAATAGTTGGTGTTTGGAGTCTGAAATGATCCAGAAGCCCTATAAACAAAACCCCATGGAGCCTTAATATAGCATGTTTTCCTAAGACTCCAAGCCTCCCTACAGCCAAAACACTTGCCAAGTTGTCTAAAGCAAACACTAAACCTGCACACAGTGAAAGACAGATCCCTCTGGCAAAGAGAGCAAGGCTGCTTCCTGAAGCTTTTGCTATTAATTACCAACAAGTGAAAAGCCATGTTGTACAGAGGCCTTGCTTCACACCACACCTACACCTCGAGTCTCATGTAACCAGTATGACTACAGAAAACTGCCTGATTGCTTTGTACAAGATAGATCAGCAAGGCAGGTGCTCCCACAAAAATACAAATGGCTTACATATAGTACCCATTAGATTTCAGGTATTTTTTCAGAAGGCCAGAAAATCCCACCTATCAGTAATCACTCGAATTCAATCTTCAGTTTTCCCTGAAAATACTTCAGGTGGCCATTAAAACATCGGATGGAGAGAAAAACATGTCAGGCTGGTTTTGAAAACAATATATTATCCTGAAAATAACTTTGTGGGATTTTGGTTTATTTTTTCAAGTATTTCACAATAGGCAAAATGGACTCCTCGATACATTGATTTTCATAATGAGCCTTCTGTCTACACCAACAGCAATAAGTTGTCGTGCTTAAATCATGTGTCCTGAAGGGAAACTATTTCTACAATCCTGTATGTGCCTTCTCCCAACAAAATGAGGCACAGGAATTCCTTCTGTCTTACAGCTCATTTCACAGTCAATCACTGTTTGGGAGTAGAAAATGAAAGAGAAACTGAAAAAAAAAAAAAGGGAAGGCAGTCAGAAAATTAATTAGTTCATCAACCATCCATGCACAGATTCAGTTGCAGTTTTGACTCTCAGAAAGAGAGTCAGGCAGAAGACGCTATGGCTGCAGTTTAAAGGACCATCTGAGCAGAGGTGGACCCTCCCACTCCAAACCCTTAGTATCCACCTGACCTGAGAGAATCACTCCTATCTCTTCTGAACCTGATTCACTAAATCATTCGTTTGCTGTGATGAGTACAGTAAACATGACAAAGTTTACCAACTACTTCAGGAAATATCTATCCTATGGTCTGCACACACCAATCCCAGATCTACTAGAGGCCCAAAACAGTACCTATGTAGGATAGCACAGTAGCATGCACACTTCCATTTGGGCCCAGAAATGGTACAAACACTTCCATGCAGTGCCAGGCTTCATCTAACAGCCCAAGAAAAAGTTTACTTCTTCCAACCCAAGACCCTGTAAATGCATCTTGCTTATTTCATACTCAAGTTGGCAGCCCAAGGCAGCTCAGGTGTTTTCATCTTTAGAGCTCTGGATCTCAGTTAGCACTAGCCAAACTTGCTGGAACAACTCTGTTGGCACTCATGCAATTAACTCATGCACAGGTTCTCCAGGTTCTCCATTTCTCATATCTGAACATCTTTCCTGAACTCAAGCATCCAGAACAAACAAGACAATTTCAGATGAAGCTCAACTGGTGAGCAAATGTTTATTTTTCCTAGCCTTACCGAAGCTAGCGTATGTAGCACATCCTGGGATCACACATGCCTTTTGCAGGTGGCTTTTTTGCCGTTAATAACTATTACTCATAAGGCCTTCCCTTCATCTGCTTCCCTTCAAAGCAACTGGCAAAGTCCCAGATTATAAAAGCAAGTATTTTATTATTAGTGCATACGAGTGTAAACTCCCACTCTGAACTATCAGGTTTTCTCACATGATTTGACCTGTCCATATCCTCCAGTTCTTCCAGTATAATATGCCAAACATCAACTGTGTTGATAATGCTGTTACCCTGCATGTACTGCAATACTGTATGCATTGCCACTGCTAATGACAGGCTGTGTAGTGAGTTTGTACAGCCTCATGACTGAGGCTTGTCAAGGTTTGCTCTGTCTGAGCTTTCCTTGGCCTGTCAGCAGCCTCAGATTTTCTAATTGGCCAGCTAGCTGTGACTAATTTGATTTACTTTTCTTTGGCACTGTATGGAGCCACCCAGGTTTTATGACTGTTATATTAATGTACTATAGAGAAATACAGGATTGGTATCTTAGCAAAGGCCTTGGGAAGTGGTGACATAGGATGCAGTATAGACAAATAAAGGTAGGAGAGATATGAGACGGGACACAGGCTTGACAGTGAATACCCCCCAGCTATAAACAACTTGCCCATGGCTAGATAAAGAAATTAAGACCTGGAGCTAAGGATGCAGGAGTAAGAAAGAGAACACAGAAGTAGTTTTCACCATATTTAAAAGGTGCCATATAAGTTTGGATGTAACATGGAGCTGCAGACTAATGAAGAAAGATAAATGCATAAAAGCAGGTCAGCAAACAAAAAACACAACCACAAGCCGATCCTTAAATGAGGAAGAAGAAACCATCAACATGAACATCCTCCTGGCTGAGGATCCCAGA